GGCTGAGTTGAATTCCACCTTATAGATAGTTTAATGTTTTAACTTATGCATATACTAAGCCTGACGTAGACATTTCGACCTTCTTGGCGAATTTTTGGTTTCCGTAAAGTTTTTCAGTTTTATTATTACTTTTTTGGATAAAACAACCTTTTTTCTTTCTTTCTCCCAAACGTATTGCCATTAGTCTTAACTGATGATAGTACTTGAAATTAATTCATAAGTTTAAATTTGGTGACAGAATTTTTATCGTAAACCTTAGGCCTATTGCTTCATCTTCTTTCACTGTTAAACCGTAAATTTTCAGTTTTATGACGTAATTAGAAAAATACATCCTAATACGTGTGAAATATCGATGGATTTGTGAAATCTTTCACTTACCATGGAGCCACATCAGTAAGACAACTTCTACTTCTACAGTTTTTGGTGGGGTGTTATGCACCAAGGTTTGGGTGATAACATTATGTTGGTGAGACCTTGGAATCTTAATGCCAAGAGTCGATTTTAATTTAAGTTTACACAATTCTTATTGATTTTTTGAGAATGTCATTTAAAATGGTTTTTATTTTTTCAAGGTGTGATTGTTTTTTTTTATGATGAAGGGGAAGTTTGGTGAACAAAACTAGCTGAAGCAAGGGCGGAGTCCTCCGGGGTTTTTGACAAAACTCCAACGTCATTTTCTGACGGATCGGGCAAAGCTAATATTTTAACAACTGTAAAAACGTCTATTTAGTAAACTTTGAGGTCTGTCTTACAATTAGTATATTCTGTTTTCAATTTACAACTTTTTGTATAATAGTTTTATATGCCCCAAGAAATTATCCACGTAGATCAAATTGTGTGTCCTTGAGTTCAACTTTAACTTTCTTTTTGCAGGTGGATACAATCACATTACCGAGTCGATGCACACCTTGAATGATATGAACCATGAGGATATGGGTTTGAGCCAACAATATAACGAAGCACAAGAATACGGGTTGGAAGCCAGTACTCCTCACCAGGGCTATTTGGACGCTAGTCCGGAGTTTTATTCAACGCCGTCCACCCCACTCATGCTTACAGAAACCAAATACCAGCCTACTTATTGTGCGAAAAGTTATTCGAGAGGTAATTCTACTGATAAACCTTTTTTTAAATTTCATTCCTTGTGTGAATGATGTATGACTTTTGATTCTACTAATATTCCCCTTTGCATGTCTTGAACATAACTTGTATTCGAAGTGTTCTTGTACGAAATTCCAATTCGAACCGTGTTCTTTTAAGAGTGTTTTGATACTGAAAGAATAAAATTTATTAATAATTTATTCCAACGTGATTTAGTGTCTATATGGTTAATTTCATCAGAATTGTAATGCGTAGAGAGACATGGGTGGCACTTTTTAGGGATTTACATGAATTTTACATATTGAAGGCACCTGGACTCTCCTTAGAAATTTCTTCTTCGCCTAACGTTTAAGCTGCTAGTAAATAACCCTGTTCTCCAGTGAATTTCAAAATTGACCTACTTTTTTTATCAGCCCTCTTATAATACAAAATTTTGGATAATTGATCAGTTTTTGCGGAGTTATAAGTTCATTCTACTTTATTTGTTCTTACAATGGTATAACACGATAGGTTAGCGAGATGCCCAGAGGAACAGTACGTAACATACTATGTAGGTTGAGGTTGATGCTTGGACTGTTGAAGGGAACTGGGACGCTTTGTTTGAAGCTGATAACTACAAATGCTGCTTGGTGTTTCTTTTTAAGTTAGTTCTACTTTCAATAACCCATTTATCCAAAGCACCTGGCGGAAACCTCGTTAGTTCAAGCTGTTCCTAATTGTTTGAAACCCTGAACAAGACTATAGATATAATACATATGATAACCTTCTGAAATGTCATCTTTGTTTAAAAGAATTTTCATTCACAGCTGTGTCTCATTCTCAATTAAAACAATTATTAGGCAAAAATGGTAATAGGCGCTCAGGTGAATTTTATGCTATCTCTTATATTAATTGGGAACAATGCAAATTCAAAATTAATTAAGCTTTGTTTGAGATATAGAGAAACTGCCTGTAGTAATGCTATAAACTTGGCCTCCATTTTAATGTAGTAGGAAACTCAAAATACTGTTGCATTGTTTGTTTAATATGAAGTAACCATTTATTAGAATTGACTTATAACTTAATTAAGTGTGTAGAGAAAGGATATCTATATTAAAAACTTGATCATTTTGCAGTACAATATCACCACGAGATGCTTCCACCTGACGGCTATGTGACACATCATTACGAGCCACCTTTCCAAACTGTACCAACTTCCATCCACAGTCCAGTTGATCACTGGTACTCTCAATTAGCAGGACATCCTTTAATGCCAACAGGTCCAGTGAGCAATTCTCTCCATCAGCATCATCCCACCTTTGTAGGACTATCAGTTCGGGACTCCCATCTACCCCTGAATCACTTGAATCAGATACAAAATCCGAATCATGGCCAAATTCATGGACCGAATCCTCTAACGGGAGGTGATGATAGCAAGCCAGTCATTCAGGCCGCCGTACTCGCAGGTTACTCAGGTGTGTTGTTGATAACTTAAAGCAAGACTCGGAAGGCCTGGATTTATCTCGCACCGAGCAATGTTTTAATTCAATACAAACTATAGTACCTAAATATGTGTGAATTGTATAAATGATAATTAAAATTGTAATACATTTTCAAAAGACTTAATTCCTTCTCCTCTTCCTTAAATAATCTTATTTTTCAGTAACTTCAAATCGAAAGAAAGTGAACATTTTTATTAAAGGTCTTTTTGGCCTCTTAAACATTTGACGCAAATGACACTGTCACTGATTATGCTATATAAACAACCAGATATTAACTGGTATATTTTAACAAAGTTTTGCGTCTTTGTACATATTCGTATATTTTATGGCGTTAAATGGAGCCTCCCGAGTTGCCATGCTTGACAGTGGTGGTTTCTGTATTGAATATTTTTAAAAAAATAATTGTTTAAACTCATCCGAAATACGAACCCATATTCAAGCATAACGTATGAATATGAGCTGTCAAATAGGCGGCTCAGTTGCTGCTTCCAGTGCTCATTTATACTTTTTCAGTAATTTACCTCCAAAGTCCAAAAAATTACTTACAGCTATAGAACAGTTAAGTAATATATTGTTTGTTTGTTTTTGTTCAATTAAGCAGAAAGCTACACAAGGGCTATCTGTGCTATACCCACCACGGGTATCGAAACCCTGTTTCTAGCGTTATAAGTCCGCAGACATACCGCTGTGCCACTGGGGGGCAATAATATATTAATAAAATACCTTTACCTGTAGTGACGTTTCACTACTACTCTCATATTCTGTGCTCTGTCCACCACGGGCATCGAAACCCGGTTTCTAGCGCTGTAAGTCCGCAGACATACCGCTGTGCCACTGGGGGGCAATAATATATTAATAAAATATCTTTACCTGTAGTGACGTTTCACTACTACTCTCATATTCTGTGCTCTGCCCACCACGGGTATCGAAACTCGGTTTCTAGCGCTGTAAGTCCGCAGATATACCGCTGTGCCACTGGGGGGGGGGGATGTTGTATCACACAACTTTACTATTTGATCTTCTGAGTTTCTGTTTGCAGACAGTAGCGCACTGATTATTCTTACAATATTAAAAAAATCAAGCCTCTGGAAGTTGTTACAGTGTTCTCTAGCTTTTATTTGCCATAGTTTACCGAGTCAATTGGATTTACTTGCTAAGCATTCTAAACTATTATTAATAGCTCTTGGTACATTTGATAACATAATAGAGCGTTATAAACATAGGACTTTTCTTTTACTTATGTTATTTATTTATAAACCCAAATCCTACCTAATCTCAAGCTTGCATGTAATACATAAAAAAGTATCAGATAGTTTTGTATACAGTAAAAAGGAGAACAATAATTCAGTATACTGAAGCTCTTGTGAAGGATTCAGGTTACAGTACTTTACTATAAAACTTTAACAATTTATTGAGCCCAATACCTTTGAAATCATCTTTTTACTCTGATTTATGTAAACTATATGTCTACGTGTGTACTTTCCGTAAAAATTGTATTTGTGTAACAGTATTTGACTCTTAACTGATGACAGCATTTTTGTAGTTGTTATTAAATAGTGTAAAAAATCAACATTTGCGACATTTAGAGTTCTTAAAAAAGTTAATATTTTTACCATGTAGGGAGTGGACCTATCCAGCTATGGCAGTTCCTGCTTGAACTCCTGACCGACAAGACTTGCCAGGGATTCATCAGTTGGACAGGTGACGGTTGGGAGTTCAAATTAACAGATCCTGATGAGGTAGCCCGTCGATGGGGCATTCGGAAAAACAAGCCGAAAATGAACTATGAAAAACTAAGTCGTGGACTGAGGTATTATTATGACAAAAATATTATCCACAAAACTGCTGGAAAGCGTTATGTGTACCGTTTCGTGTGTGATCTCCAGTCTCTCTTGGGCTACACTCCCGAGGAGTTACACGCCATGGTTGACTTAAATCCAGAGAAAAAGGACGCCGAATAGTCAGTAGTGATCTGGTCAATTTATCGCATGTATTTGTATTTTTAACATTTCACATTTTCTCACCGACAGTCATAGTTTCTCATATATTTAGTTTAAAACTGATAATTCTTTACTTGTGCTTATTGGTTTCTCCCAGACCTATTTTCTGACAAGGATATACAGTAAACTTACTTTTCGTGTTTAGAAAAATAAAACGGTCATTTACTCTTCCAGAAACCGTTAATTCTGTAAGCGGTGTGTGGTATCAGTTTAAGGTAAACCTGTAGTTACTATTGGTATAATTGCTAAGAAAGAAACTACTGTACATATGGGTATTGTCTGATAGCTGTGTTGTCAGGAATGTTTCATAAGATCTCCTTTTATATATATATATATATTTAACGTTATCGTATTTTGTTATTGAACTGTGCTTTGACGAAAAGTTTTACAAATCCTAGAATTAAAAAACGTTCGTATTCTTGCACCTCGTAATTTATATTATATAGGAATAATTATGTTAGAGCACAGAAATATGCCTTTATTCTAACTATGTATTCAGTAGTGCCTTACTAGTTAATTGCTACATGTTTTACCAGAACGTTTACATACATCTGTTGATTCATTTTTAAGTAATATTATAATTCAATATATTACGTTCTCAAAATAACTAGTATAAGTGATTTTGTGTAAAGAGAACACTAAAAAGAGACTTTCACATGTTGCTGTTTCCCTTCTAAAAGCATGTAATCACTATCTGTTGATAAAACTTAACTGTAAAATGAAACATTATTAGATGCGCGATTAACTGTAGTTCAGATATCAGTTGTAGAAGTATTTACTGTCTAATGATGGACACATCATAAACAGACCGATACAGTGCTTATTGTTGAGACTGTTTATATGGAAATACATTGTTTAACTCAATTCAGCGGTTGAAAATTAACATATTTTAAAGAAATGTTTCTGTTTTAAAGCTTAGCGTATTATTACAATATATTTTAAAAACGTGTTAAATTTACAATATATTTTCATAGAATCTTATAAGAGGTAGTTAATTTATCAGTAATTACTGTTTATAGAGAGGATCGAAGTATTTATCCCGTACAAATCAGTATAAATAGATGTGTAGTTTTAAGTGCAGAAAGGGTGAATTTCGCTCGTTGTGTAACACCTTTCTGATCACTTTATCCTTTACTGGTATATGTAAGTGTGACTGCAGAAAGGGTGAATTTCGCTCGTTGTGTAACACCTTTCTGATCACTTTATCCTTTACTGGTATATGTATGTGTGACTGCAGAAAGGGTGAATTTCGCTCGTTGTGTAACAC